CCACAACTCTATTACCATATTGTCCTAAACTGCAGTTTTACTTAAAATTTATAGTAAAGCATTTGGTTTGGGTTTCTTGGTTCGATGCCAAGAAAGCTGTCCTTCCAAACTTTTTACAGTTTCACGAAGTTAATATGATTCAAACATTCGCTTGATGTATCATTCCTAAATAAGATAATGTTTGACTCGTATTGAAAGGAATTTGATCTATTGTAAGGAAACATCTACAGCCTTCCTTATGTTTGCAAGGCCAAGGAGTGGACAGAGACGCCATATTTAAACACACTGACAGCAAATTTACTTTATTTCTTCTATAACTATACTCTCATGTATTCCGCCAAGTACAGTAGGTCCTCGTGAAATGTTATTTGTGTTTATTTGGTGGAGTTATTGGTAAGAGTTTTTAGTGAAGGGGATTAAGGTAATGTTATATAGTGTTAGCTGTTATGGGGTGAGTCAACTCCGGCGGCTCCTTGCCACAACAACTACACAGCCTCACTGTACATAATATTAACCTCAACAAATACAACCACCACTTACCTCTTGAGTTTATATTCCCTCACCAACGATGACACTTTCCACTTTACTGTAGCACTTTACAACACTTCACTGCACTTATTAACGCGACAATAGCGGCAACGGAACTGACCATTAAAGTTCATGACATTGATTCATAAAACACCTCAAAACAGGTGTCGGGCCTCATGGGACTGAATGAAGCTGTGCCATTATTGTGGGAAGACTTCCATTGTATCTCTCTCTTTGAATTTATGAAATACAGTACCTGATTCGTTGATGTAGAGCCCATATAATTACTTTTTATTTTTCAACCTAAATGATTCTATGCCCACAAGAAAACTTTATCCTTCGCATTATAAAGACAATCATCCCACATGAATGAGTTCACTGTAATAACACACATCGCCCCTGGTCATGAACCTCTGTTCACGTCAGCGTCTCAAACTATCAGTCAACTATGAAGAAATTATAATTTTATTTTTATTATGCTTAACTTCGTTTATTACCTGAATATAAAAAGCACAATGATATGAAACACAACTATAGAAAATTGTCATATATCGTTTCTAAGTGAAACAAGAGACGTCTACCAAGCGTACCTATCAACACTTAAACTATATAACATAGATTATGATGGGATGTTTACACCCACGCCTATGAGATTTAGTACAGGCACAGGAACCAATAGATTCCTTCCCTTTCAATGCAAAGTCCTATACATTTTTGGTTCACTATATGATTTGACCACTTATCAGCTCACACATTTGATGACGTTATGGCCAACACAATGGGACGTCCATGATTGGCTAACGATAACAGGAACGAAGCAGCTCGTAATATATTAGTAAGGACGCCCACACCTTTGACATACCCACGAGCACGGCTGAATATAATTGTATCGTCTGATTTTCCAAAGCCTCGATTGATTGTCGCCGCTATGTAAAAAGATTCCCATTCAGAAGCGGCGTCGTGTAACAAGCAATATATCCCTCAGAAAGTTATATATATCTCACAGTTTTCAGTTATTGATGAACTAGCGTAGTTGTCGAGGCGACGGAACAATACTGTACATCACAGCATCACCTTCAACAGTATAGCCGTGACTGGAACCAACACAGTTTACCCAGACTGGAATAAATTTAAAATTCTATGCCCTCTACTTTACATTGATTACGTTAGTTGATTTTATGTCACAACATCTTTACTGAACTTAGTATATATAGAAAAATCCAAAATGATGAAATATTAACCTTAATACTACAAGTTATGGGAAGATTTTCGTGTTTTTGAGAAGGATTACGTAAGTTGTGTTCCACCATCAGCGGCTGACCAATCACAGACCAGCTCCACGTGGGTGACGTAACTTAATGACTTGGAGTACCTAGGCCGACCAATCACGGACCAGCACCACATGGGTGACGTAACTTAATGACATCTCTAATAGGTGACAGAGTTGCCAACCTAACGTAATCCATGTGAAGTTAATCTGTGATTGGTCGACATAGTTACCTCAAGGCAGTTTTGGAATAATTATACTCCTGATCAATCTTTAGGAGAATAAATTTGATAACTACTGAAGTCACTCCTTAAAATATTGATATTTATTACAAGTCAAATGAGCATCTAGTGTCCTCCTCACTTAAGACAAAACCCGTCATTAAAATTCTACTCTTGTTTTCATCATTCACTCCAGCTTCTGTCTTTGATCAATTAAATTATAAAAGAGACAGAAATTCACCAGACTAGACTTGCCAGCGACATCCTGACCATATATTAACCTGTGGAGAAGACAAACTGGCCAAAATCCCAATTGAAAACAAAATCCCACATGATAAAATACCACTTTCCCAAATCTCACATTCGGTTTGCGTCAGAGGCAGCCTTGTTAAAAATGTGGGAGGATGAAGTGAAGGAGGTGGAGGGAGGGGAAACAGCAGTATTACTCTCGATGATATAAATATAAGTTATTTTTAGACGTGTGGGCAGCAGGGGAGAAGGGTGAAATGGCGGACGGTGTGCTTACGTAACATGGAGGTATAACCTTACCTTTGTAGTAGTAGAAGATGAGAATGATTTTGTAATTTTGAAAGGTAAGCTAATAGACAATAAAGTTATATATTTGTATATTTTTTGTATAATACTACTATTACTACTTCGACTATTACTACTATAACTATTACTATTACTACTAGCCATAAGCTAAAAATATACAAATAACATAAGTGGTACATATATAACACATTATGGCACCAAGGGGAGGGTCATTAAACAAGGAATTTCAGCAAATTTACAGAACAAAGGAGAGAATGACAGGGAGAGAACGCAGGTTAATTACAAGTTGTTGATTAATTTTACAATGGTTAGGAATGGGCTGTTCTTATAGCGACCAGTACGTGGATGTGTGGGCAGGATGTGGCTGCAGTGTGGAACAGATATTCACAGACGAGGGACCTCAGGTGGTAGCAGGAGACGGTGTCGAGGATAATTGTAGTAACTTCGTCCCCAAACTGACAGCTGAGGTCGTGGTGATGATTAAAGAGAGTTGAGAGGGCGAGTGTACCCAGAGCCTCCTGATGTGTGGTATAAGAGAGGGAGAGAATAGTCTTGCATGCACTCAACTACACTCTATGAGCCCTCGTTGTGTAATAGTTAAGGATGAAGTGTGTGTGTGTGTGTCCAGTACAAGTGACACAAGGTCTGGAAGGAGAGAGCGTTGCCATGGTGACCATCAAATGCTGCTTCCAAGGTGAGAGAGATGAGTGGGGAGGGGGGTGAGAAGGGAGTGGGCAGAGAAGAGGGTAAGGGAGGAGGAAGGAGCAATGAGGGAAGGAAGGAGAGAGGGGAAGGAGGAGAGATAAGGGAAAAGGGTGGGGGAGAGCTGAGGAAGGATTATGATACTCCAAGGTCAAGTGTGAGGTGTCAGGTCTCAAGGTCAAGTGTGAGAGTCAAGGTCAAGTGTGAGGTGTCATAAGGTCAAGTGTGAGGTGTCATGAGGTCAAGTGTGAGGGTGTCATAAGGTCAAGTGTGATGTGTCATGAGGTCAAGTGTGAGGTGTCATGAGGTCAAGTGTGAGGGTGTCATAAAGTCAGTGTGAGGGGTGTCAGGTCAAGCATGAGGGTGTCATAAGGTCAAGTGTGAGGGTGTCATAAGGTCAAGCATGAGGGTGTCATAAGGTCAAGTGTGAGGGTGTCATAAGGTCAAGCATGAGGGTGTCATAAGGTCAAATGTGAGGGTGTCATAAGGTCAAGTGTGAGGGTGTCATAAGGTCAAGTGTGAGGGTGTCATAAGGTCAAGTGTGAGGGTGTCATAAGGTCAAGTGTGAGGGTGTCATAAGGTCAAGTGTGAGGGTGTCAGACTTAACTTAACCTAACCTGTGTCTGGCAGTTGTTTACGGGAGTGAGGGTGACCTTGCAGGCCCCCCCCCCCACATACTTTCCTTCCTCCCGCACAGTAATATTTCCTGGTGATGGCCGGTCGCTTGTGGTGAGTCAATATCCTCCTTCAAGTTAATACTGTGCCAAACACCGCTCGTCGATACAGCTAAGGACACCATCCGTCTTTTGACAAGTTGCATTTAGGGTTCAAGTTTTATTCAGGACGCTCATCATACAAGTTTATACAATGTAGGTGTACGATATATGAGCACAGGGCAGATATACTGTGCAAACAATGTATCTAGACAGTGCAGGTATACAATGTATCTAGACAGTGCAGGTATACAAACGATGTTCTAGACAGTGCAGGTATACAATGTATCTAGACAGTGCAGGTATACAATGTATCTAGACAGTGCAGGTATACAATGTATCTAGACAGTGCAGGTATACAAACGATGTTCTAGACAGTGCAGGTATACAATGTATCTAGACAGTGCAGGTATACAAACGATGTTCTAGACAGTGCAGGTATACAAACAATATACCTATACCTGGACAGTGACTCCTGACAATATATGTTATGAAAGATTTTTTCTCGAAAAGTAAAAAAAAAAAAACTAAAACAAAGACAAAAAAATATATCAAAGCGCTTTTCATCATCACAGTAAAAAATATAAAACAGCGAGAAAAGTTAAGATAATTAAATTCATATTTTTCTTCATCTTACCTGCCCTAACTATCTGGCAAAAGCTCTAACTATCTGGCAAAGGTCTTGACATGAACCTAAGCATGGCGTCAACGTGTATGAGAGTTAAGCTGTATTTCCAGAGACCATTAGAGACAATTGGTAGGTCACTTGAGTGTGGTGTTGGCTATCAGGGAGATAAATTTAAAGTGTCGAGATGTTTCAGAGAGGACCATTAAGGGAAAGAAATCTTATGGTGAGTTAGTGGCTGTGTTGAGAGGTGGTGGTGGTGGTGATGATGATGATGATGATGACGATGATGATGGTGGTGGTGGTGATAAGGAGGAGGAGGAAGGGAAGGGAAGGGAGAGGAGGAGGAATATGAAGGGAGGGGGAACAGGAGGAGGACTGAAGAGAAATAGGAAGAGAAGAAAAGATGGAAAAGGAGGAAGAAGAAGAGGTTCCCTGATGGCTGGAATACAAAGTGGAACTAGCCATCAGATGCAGGTCAAAGGTTATGTGAAGACTTTCTTGCTTAGCCGTGATCATAGTGCCTTACCGTTTGCCATTGCTTGTATACTTGTATTGTCTAGGAAACTTAACCTAACCTAACCCACAGGAGAGCCGTGACCTGGGTGAACTGATGTTGAGTCTGTGTTACCTCCCCACTGCTGGACGTCTCACTGTAACAGTTATCAAGATGAGGAACCTCAGAGCTATGGATATAACCGGATCATCAGGTCAGTGTACATAGTGTTAGGGCAGTGTAGAGGGTGTTAGTCTTCAAGGTCTTAGTTCAGGACATCAAATAGGTTCTCAGACACCTTAAGACACCATTCATCCCTCAGTAACTCTGCTAACATAATTTGCTAAACTTAATAACTTTACTACAATAATTTGATAAAGTAAATTACCACCTATTGTATTTCATCACAAGTCTTCAGTCTGTCAATCACCAAGGGACAAGACAATCCAGGTACAGTAGCTACAGACACTCACCTGTCTCAGAGGAAATGGTATTGGGATGACTAACTCTTAACCTCACAAGTACTTCATCAATCTCATGGTGTGATTACTTTTTAACATTAACAAATTCCCATGATAACAAAAATAATGTAAATTAGTTCATGTAGCTATTCCCAAGTGTGGTCAGTATGTAGGAGTGTTAAAATTGATAACTATGTGTGTTGTGTTCTTAGTTATTATGTTCCCCTCCACACACACACAGACCCCTACGTGAAGGTCTGTCTATTGTGTCAAGGTCGACGAATCAAGAAGAAGAAGACAACGGTGAAGAAGTCGACGCTCAACCCAATCTACAATGAGGCCCTCGTCTTCGACATCCCCAATGACAACATCGAGGACGTCACCCTCTTGGTCAAGGTCGTCGACTATGATAGGTGGGTCATGGAAAGACAGATGATGTGAAGAATGATAGATAGTGTGAAGAAGGTCAGATTAAGTGGAGCAGCAGATTAGGGTAGAGTGACATGATATAGAGGCAAAAACTGTATCAACTCAATGAATATCTATAAATTTCTGAATATAACCACCCCTTGCACTTCAGTAGTAAAATCTATAGCAATTGTTGGTGTTCTTGTCTCTCTTGGTATGTGGAATGTGAGAGTGAATGTCATCTTCAGTTTGGTGGCTCTCAGGTCATTTGGATATTATCAGTCAATTTGCAGTCTTTGGTGTATATCTGAGGGGTGACCAGAAAAATGGCGTTGAAAAAAAAAGAATAAAATTTTGGCATGGTTAGGTTACGTTATTAGATTATGGTATGTTAGGTTATGACTAAGGTTAGGTTATGGTATGTTAGATTCTGAAGTTAAGTTAGGTTAGGTTGTGGTATGTTATGTTAGGTTATGAGGTCAAGGATCATTATTCTAATTTTATTTTATTGGTCTTCTTAATAAATTGTTTTCATTTTTCCCTTCACCTGTGTTGTATTTTATATATTAGAACACATACATCAATAAAGCTTCTATTGCATATATCAAGCAATAAAGTGTCAGAGTTATGAGTTCATGAATGACAACACACTAATGTTGACGAGTAAACCACAGTGAATTGGACTGAGATAAATACTTAATGTTTATATATCTGTCCAACTTAACCAGAAAAATACATCATAATATATGGTTTACTACTTTATCCTCATGACAGGGTTGGCGCTAATGAACTGCTGGGTGTGGCAGTAATTGGGTCACAGGTGATTGGCCCAGGCCGCGACCACTGGCTGGAGATGTTGGAGTGTCCCCGCCGACCTGTGGCCCAGTGGTACCCCCTTATGGAGAGCGTCCCCCTCAACTTGGTGATGTCCCCAACCCGCACACTACCTCCGCCACTCAGCTGCTTCAACTCAACGTATGCTCTCCTAAAATCGTTTGGTTGTGAATATAACAGAGTAGATTATGTAAACAATATATTGCTGGTGTCAATTTGTAAGTTACTGTATTGCATAAAGTATTTGTCTCATTTTTTCTTCTTCTGCAAACCCCCTTTTACTTCACTGCTTTCTCTTCATTTTATGTCATCCAATCCCTTTTACTGTTGCAATACCTTATAACCCATATAATGTACTACTATACTGTCATTTATTATTAACCTCAGTTTCTTTACACTTAAATATCAGATGACAGATTATTCTCCATGTTGGTATGATTATTTATACAATATTTATTTATTTATCTTGCAGGTGAAGTTGAGCCCAGAACATTTGAGTTGGTTTCCTAATGTTTCTTAGAGGATGTTATTACATCTTCTGGGCAAGATCTGTTAGTTGGTGAACACACACACCAGGCCTTCACCAGATGCTACTTCTGCTCTGAAGAGGAGAGTTATGGTGATCCATATAGTACACTGGATTTCCCTCCTTTTTCCCAAATTCTGACAGTCTGTACAGTGTATGCCTAAACCATACTGAGTTCTAGTATAGCATGCACTATGTATGCCTAAACCATACTGAGTTCTCATATTGCATGCACTATGTATGCCTAAACCATACTGAGTTCTAGTATAGCATGCACCATGTATGCCTAAACAATATACTGAGTTCTGGTGCAGTTCTCTTTATAACAAGATTTATGCTGTTACTGTATAACCTACACTTAGAACACAACCTGAACTACCACCACCCCCACAATAGATCACAGCATAATGTCAGGTTATCTTTGTAAGACTCGTCACATTTACAACATACACTCACCAACGAAAGTCCTGTTGCCTCACCTGCCTCTTCATGATCCCAGAGATTCAGAAACTTGTGAGGTCTCTGAATCTCTGGGTTCGTGAAAGGCAATGAGGCGACAGCACTCTTATTGGAAAAGTTACTCGCAAATATTACCCCAAAACAAATTTATTTACTTATTTTTTATTTATGGTTGTCCAACTAATGTCAACACTTCAGCTTGGGGTTGTTTTATATACAGCGATAACGAACCTAACAGCTTTCTCAATTATGCTTTTCATAAGTGTTATCTTCCAAGTAATTTTTGTCCTGCCCGCTCCTTAACAACCACCCCCAACACATATCTACATTATCTTTCTCACAGAGTCATGTCTATATCATCCTTCTCTCAATCATGTCTACATCATCCTTCTCTCAGTCATGTCTACATCATCCTTTTCTCAGTCATGTCTATATCATCCTTATCTTTCTAAAACTAATAATTTTCATCACCTTTATTCCTTATCAAATATGTCTAATTCACCTACAACTAAAATTTGCTGTCGTCCCTAATGTCTACGTTCTCCCACAAACTTAGTCATTACATGTTCTTAGAAGAGAAAATAATGAACTCTTATATTAACTTACAGTACTTGGTGTTAAATTTGAGTATTTCTGCTACTGGTCAGAAACAGCCATCGTTTATCATGCTTTCGAAACTCACATAATTAATCAGCCTCACCATTTTACTCTACAAGTCATGTTACAGTGAGCTATGAAGAAAGTGCATACAGTATATATATTTGTAGCTTGTGTCTACATCCCTCGGCATCCATTGTCTTCTCCAATATTAATGAAAAAAGAATTTCTGACGTATGAGTATTGTATGTCACAAATGCAGATCTGGGGAACAGAATAGTCCCCAAGTACAGTTCATATGTACAATCAAAGACAAAAATCGTATCGCGATTTTGTCCGAAGATTAAATATAACTCGTGAAACATTATGAGAGCCCCCTACCACCAGGCAGAGCGCACCAAAAGCTTCGCCCTTCGGCATATGTTTTCACCAGATTTCACGACACAATTTTTGTCTTTCATTGTACACAGAAAACAAAACAAAACAGAAGGGAGTAAATGTTTAGAGACCAACACAGAAAAGATAAAATTCCTTAAAACATTAGATTTTAAACATGATAGATTATATACTAAAGAACTATAGTGGCCTATTTTGGTGTTTATTCACCAATCAATCAACTGCCTTGTTACAAACTGACCCTAGGCCTCAGTTACAAAGCTCAAAAGAAGAACAACAGATCCAGCGCCCTCTATACAAAGGTTTACACCATCTCAGTTTCAGCGCAAGATTTACAAAATATCACTTAGCAACAATACTCTGAGAAAAAAGTAGAAAATTAAGCTGATTTACTAAAACATGACATTACCTGGTAAACTAAATCTAAGAGAGCTTGAGCTAGCAACACCTATACACAGAATGGTTCATGGCACAGTGTTTACAAAATGGCGGCACCTAGTGTAACGTTGGCATAAGTCTCCTCAGAGAAGATATTGACCAGATCAAAATAAGAGACGTGAATAAACCGGATAACGGGTCTATCCGAGAAATAAGTGTCCAGATATAACGTTGTAGATAATATTACATAGGATTAACAGTATATCAGCACCTTTAACACTTAACCAGAACATGATAACTGCGTGGAGGCACAACATTTAGTCATTACAATCATTTTAAACAATGATAAAAAAATGACATAAATCCGCAATTATTCCATCAAATATTATAAATTCAGATAAAGCAAACTAATACATTGGTTAATTACCCTGTAGTACTGTAGTGGTACATTCTCTCCTGTGTACATTATGTAGTACTGTAATGGTACATCCTCTCCTCCCTATTACATTCATCAGTAACTCACTTATAAACCCTAATTGTAATTATTTATGTCAGGGAGAATCATAAAACATTTACTTGAGACTCTTGGGGAAATATTTTAGGATATGTGTGGGGAACCTTGTCTAACTTACCCTATCCCAGCTTCTCTATCTAGAGCAGTGGTGTAAATTTCAAAGGGATTTATATATCCTCTAACAAAGTACTACAGTTCATAATTGGCTGATCTGTTGGTAGTACTGTATTATTATTATTATTATTTTACATCGCTCAACAACCTAATCATTAATGTACTGTACTGTATATCTTTCACAACACTGTTACTACAAATTATTTCACAGTAATAATTTAGACTTTGTTTACCTTGTACAGTATGTCGAGCCAATATTTACCATGAACTGCACTACACAGTTTTAATAAATAAAGACAGACTGAGATAACCCAGAACCAAAGCTGTTAAAGGGACCACATAATCTTATACCCATAGTATATTCATGGAATTACTTACCCGTATAAGTTACCCCAATACACGAGAGAGATCAAGTGTTTATGACCCATAAATGAGATAACTAAAAGAGATTTAACACTTACTGTATGTGTGACATATTACACCAAGGGTTATAGGCTCTTACTAGCTTATTAAATAAAAATAATTTAGCTAGTCGTAACTGAACACTACAAGAAATATACTGTACAGTACACTCGGGGTCAAAAGTTCGCTCCCTCCCAAAATGAAGCAGTATCAACCCCGAATGAGATAAAGGAACAGACCCACACAAGACGACAGTCAGGGTAAATAAGTTTGGAGACTCGTTCCCGTGACTCAGTTATACCGCAGGGAGTGAACTTTTCTCCGTGACTGTACATCAGAGAAAGTTACCTTACAAGGTGTACTGTACACTGTCAAGTATATTTCTATACACACCATATCATAACCACTAATTCTGTACACCATAGTTTGTCTTTCCTCAAGTTTCAGCCTTAAATAATTGTTGTGTACTACTAAGGTGCAAGTAGAGTGTAAACAATATTTAATGTAACACTTCATGTAGCATTCAAGTGTTCTTAGACTTGCATGTAATTTCTTTACCCAAAACTGTAACAATATTCATGAACTGTGTGTGTCATGTGAGATAAGTAGAACTGAATACTCTGGGCAAACTTTTTACAGGATTAAGAGATGTAGTTTTAGGTGAGACAGTATTTTTGTGAAGTAGGAAGCTTGCATGTGAAATGTGTACCACCAGTTTATTGGTATATCTAAACAAAATAATTATACTTTGACTATTTATAGTATAACCAGTAGTCTATCCTTTAGCAACAAAAGACTAATGATTTTTCTGCTGGCAGAGAATGTTGTACTGTATTTTTGGTAGAAATCTGTGTACAGTAGATGAGGCAGTAATTTATGTCCTTTTAGTATAAGGGAAATATATAATATTTTTGTCTATTCTATGTAAGGAAAGTATATATATTCTGGTGATAATGTGTTATCACTCATGTTGTGGATCAGAGCCGAAGTTTCTGCCTTCCGTGTTGACATACCCGGTGTTGAACAATTACTATACATCGAGTAAATGGTAAAAGTGTTGGCAGTATAGTATCAGTGTTTCAATACATGTAGTGTGTGTGTGTGTGTATCATTAGGCAGTATAAGCATGCTTCCTGTTATAAGCAGATGAAGCCAAGTAAGGTGTCATGATTCTATGTGTCGTCGTATTTGTCTCGAGTAACGTACACGCTTGTCGTTTGCCGGTCAGTACACCCGACTGTCGCCCATGGTTGAAGGGATACAAGTCCTATTCTTTTGTTGTGGTACGGGATTATGTGGCATTCAGCAATGATGTGGACGACGCCAGTGTTAAGTGTTGTAACAAGCCTGTGCTGGATGTCATGCAACTCACGCTCGTAAAACTCTTAACTCATCTCTCGTACAAAGCACTGTAATAGTGCTCGTGCTTGCCTTGTTCCCTCACAATCTCAGAACAGATCGACTTATTTTGGGCCAACACATGTCAGCTAATGAAGGTTCATGTTTGAAGACCCCAGGTAGCACATAGATAACCAAGTGGATCCAGAATGAGATAGAGTATTATTTTTTAAGGGGGTGTTTGAAGTAGGACGAGCAACTGTGATACAGAAACTGATCCGCATTTATCTCCCGACAATTAACATACAGATCTAAATGTCCTTTATTGGCTGACATGTGTATGGTAATCTTCCATTTCATAAACATTATCTATTTTTGTACCTTTTCACTTCCTGTACTCATTTAATGATAAAAGACATAGATGAATTTAAAATGTGTTTGGAAAATTAAAATTTATGTAGTAAGTTCTCTTGTGTTATTATCCTACAATAAAGGGGTGAACATCTCCCCATAAGCTGACATAGGTGGACAAATACCACTAAATATAGTCATCTTATCCAGGGAGTAAAGTTGTTCTAGTCCTGCACTACCTGGACATAACCCACAACAGAGGACTCAAAATTCCCATAGCATTTATATACATTATTATTTTCTTTATAATGTTAATGTGACAATAATTCTGTATTTTGACAGCTTTTCCTTCTGTACACTATAATGTTCTTTACACATTCATGGCACATAGTTATCACCATCATTGTTTTACAGCCATTTTCGATGCTTTTATGTGTGTGTTAGCTGCAATTACCTGATGGACAGCTTCTTAATTCTAATGTCATCTTTCATAACCTCTCCCCATCTCGTTCGTGGCCTACCCTTGACTCTCCTTTTCTCCACATATAGACTCGTGCACCTGTGAGAAGTTTGAATATAGACCAGGTTCTTTGGAGACTTTACTCTTGCAGCGTCAGACAGTGACTGGCAACCCGGCACTGCCACAGACAACCTCCCGCCTCCACACATGGAAAAACATATCGTACGATGATACTGCATCTCAAAATCTCACGGCACCTCTTGACTCAACTTGACCCATCTATTCTCGCCATTGCCCCCAAAATTCTCAGCCTACTTCTATTCAATACTTTGCCAATATTGTACTCTCAATACCCAGCCAACCTCTTAGCTCTGAACAGGGTTTCCTTTCTTTCAGTGTCACATTACACATCCACTTAACCATTCTCATATAAGCTCGGGTAAACCAGTATGTCATCCTCTTTAACTGCCCATGTTTCAATATCATACAACATCACACTTTTCATGCCAGTTGCATATGTCCATTCAATTGAAGGAAAAGTGCATTTGCAATAAAAAAAGGCAGCAACTCCCTAAACTTCCTCCAGCCACTTCTGACTCTTGCAACTGAGCAGGCTTTAGCATCCTCACTAGCACCGATCATACCACCCAGGTAACATAACTCATCAACACAGTCCAGGGATGTGCTGTATCTTTAATGCTCAGTTTATCTACAGTATCCTAATAGGTTAAATCATATAAAATATCATACACACCATACTTTAATATACAAGACCTTAGCTGAAGTCTCAATCTACAGCTACATACAACTACATGTAAATACAAGCAACATCAAACACAACTAATCCTTAAAACTTAATCAGAACACCTACTATTGTACCTAAACAGAACACCATGACTCCATACACTTGGTAAAAATAATATGTTGACTTAAAAATTAACACTTCATTATATTACTATTTTTGGCTGTTATTCCCCAAACATTGACTTACGAGCCCATAATTAGGACTGTGATTTTCTAGTACAGTTTTTGATGCCGATTATGGTGATGATAATTATTTCTGGGGGAAAATTAGGGTTTCATTTTGTTGTTTTTCTTCACAATAATAAACTAATTGATTATGGTTTTTGGTAATGGTGACATGAAGAGCTGGCATCAGGTGGTGCTGGGGGGTATGAGTATAAGACTGTAAATCATTCAGAACATTTCATAGACTGCCCCTGAAACCTGTGTCTGCACTGATAATATTAAACGCCTCTGGAACAACATAAAGTCATGGGTGCTGAGGGCTGGGAACATCAAATATCACTACAGGAAATATTTGCTTGATAAGTCTCCATCCACAACAACCATGACCACATCACCATCCTCGTGCCTCTCTTCCTCCACAGTAAATGAGTGCAATGACCAGGTTGGGTTAGGTTAGGTTCTTTTAGTTATGTTTTGAAACCCCTACTTTATTCCTCAGCTTTGAATCCCTTCCCACCTTTGGTTAGGTCAAGATTGATAGAGTAGGAAGGGCTGTAAATTCAATAATTATGCATTTTCCCCCAAACTTTCATTATTAAAACAATATTCAGCATGAAAAACTGCATTAAAAGAAGCTGTCTTTTATGCCTAAATCATATGCCCGTGTTTGTGGAATAATTACCCCCATTTTCTTAACATCTGCACGACATTATAAATTAGCATGGCAGCTTAACAATGAACAATAGAAAAATATCTTTCTTAGGCAGCAAGTTGCATATAAGAGCACCAGTTCCTTGAGTAAACACTTTATCTCCCATAATTATCAAACTGGAATGTACTGTTCAGGAAATTTTATCATCGTATGCCTAACCTTATCCAGCTTACCTCTATAAGGATCGTTTCTAGACACACACAAGCACATGTTGCTGCCTAAGTTAGCATCACAGTGTCTCGAGGTCTGGCGGTAGAGGAATATTCTTCAGGTTGGCAAATTTCTTCAGCGCTTCGTAACTCTGGTACAGCCTGTCGATTTCCGATCTCATGTTGACGTTGTCGCTTGCTAATTTATCAATATCAACTTGTTCTGTTGTTCTCTCTGATTCAAGTTCGTCCTTCTGCTCTATTCTCTTTATACGGCAGCTGGAAGAGAAAGAATGTCAGATAACAGAGAAGACTTTAGAAGAAAACAAAAAAACAACAACATAACTCCTACTGGCCACAAAAGTCCTCTAAAATTGAAAAGAAATGTTGCATTTCAAACTGAACCCAAAAGCTGTTCTTTAATATATGACAGGAAAATGTTGTCCTCTGACCTGGCAGCATATCCCCGGTTCTTTAGAGTTCTTCGCCGTTGTTTCATCTTGATGATGTCCTCCCGGCAAAGACCACGTAGTTTAAGCTGTCGGTTGAGGTCCCGGACGCTGATGCTTACTAACTCGTCATCACTTATATCACATGGCGGTGGTGACAGCGGGGGCTCCTGGGTCAAAGGGGATACTAGTAGTTCTGCTTTTACCTCAGCACACACGTGAGGTGCTTGGGGGAAGAGAGGGATGAATCAACCAACTTAGACCTAACTGATAAAAAAAAAAAAAAAATATATATATATATCAGTCTGAAAGTACACTAATTTTCCTATTATTTGAGACCAGTTGCATTCATTTCGTACGGTGCGTTAAGGAGATACACAAAATCTAATGCGAGCGAGATGAAACCACTCATTTCTTGAAACGTGATTTTGGTTGATTCGCCCCCATCTTATCCCCTTGGCCTCATATTACTCAAGAAAATGTTCCAGAACTCTCATTAAAAATTCATAGAAATAATAATGAAGAAAAAAATGCCAGATGGATGATATATAAGTACTGTATGATGACTGTGTCACTGATCAACGCTGAATACTTGTGAAAACTTTTGGCTGTGGAAACAACATAATGTCTCGTGGCAACAGAAAACACACACTCTTAACCGCTATTGAGCTGAATAAAATCGTCTGACATTGCCCTGTGTGGCCCCGTAGTGAAGGGTTTAACGAAAGACAAGAGAACAACATAGATACCAAAACAAAATGGTAAGGAGGATAAAATCAAAAGTTAAAACAGGGATGATAATTTGTGGTAACTGTGGGCATTGATCAACACACACACACTCCAGAGGGTCTTCCAGGTGCCTGTGTGGTTTATACAGATTTTACTCTGCATCCAGAAATTTATCCAGACACACATCACATACCAGTAACAACTAAACTTACATAAGCAATTGTGTATTTGTACCAGACCATCGTCAGTTACGTACGATGGTTATTCTACGAACTACTTCCCAGTGAGTAAAAGAAGTTAATTGGTTATACCGTATTAAATAGTTAACTTATCAAATTATTGTATCTTTATTTATAAAGTTAATTTTTTAAAATACTGTACGAGTTAACTTAATGTAGTTGGTGAGTCTCTAAATCAATGCACACAACATGAACAGAAACACACAACAAAAGCCACCAATTATTTTCTTTGAAAAAAGGGCAGAGCGAGGGTTTAGTTGATGGGGGGTAATTTTCCACTGTGTTTAAATCAACTTGGTGGGCGTATGGGGTATCCAGTAAGGTTGTTCATTAATAATATGAAAAAAAAAATTGGCAGCTTCCATGACTTCAACATTATCAATACAGAATATCAAATCAATTACTGTGTACTGTATCTGTAAGCATAAATAGGATAAAAATAATATTAAAAACAAAACAAAAACAGACATGCACGGTTACAGATATCTAGTGGGAAGACCATATTCACGTGACAATGGCTCCCCAAAACACAAGATCAAGATTACATTCCCAACCTGTTACTCTCCTGCTTGTTAGTGAGGCAGAGAAGTTAATGCAATAGGGAATTAATTGAATGGACCTCTGAACCAACTGATTAAAAAAATTAGATTTTTCTTTTTACGTTTCAACTGCCAGAATTATTAAACTTTGTACAGTCACCCACAAAAGTACTGTCGCCTCTGCTCTTGAACCACGAACCCCCGAGATTCAGACCCATGAATCCGAAGCCTTTATGGGCAGAATAATGCATCAATGTCTACAGCTTCAGGTTCATGAGTCTGAATCTCCGGGTTCGTGGTTCAGGAGGGGTCAACAGAACTTTAGTGGGTGACTGTACAACACATTTTAGTCTCTACAACAAATAAATGTATAAATTCAGAACAATTACACAACTTTCTATAAACAACAGAATACTGAACAGGCACAAGTATCAGAGGAAGTTGAAATACAAGTCTGTTCTAAGGAATATGATTTGTCTTTTCTTTTCCAAAACACAACACAATGAAGATAAAACTTGTCTATTCATTTCCAGAAATCAAAGCCATGATATTACTCTAGTTCTAATAAACTTACATCCTCTGCCATCCAGTTGTCATAAAAACATCGCCAAATCTTATTCACATAGTACAGGTATTAGCAAAGCTATGCAAAATGACATGTCTCCCTGAGTTGTTCCTATGTAATAACCAATCTACAAAATCTTATTGTTCTTCACTGAATAATTTTTGCTTAATTCTGATAAAAGAAAAAAAAGTAGGATAGAAGTTTGTATGTGCAAACAGGTGGCAATAAGTGCAGTGAAGTAAGTCCTCAGGCACAATTGAAGGCTTAATAAAAAAGGAATCATACTATACACAGCTGATCATCAATGTGTGTTTGAGTCTGGTGACAAACTCCTCCACAATCCTGTGTAGCCAAGTGTTCTATAGATATATAACAACTTCTAATACTGTACAGTACTAGAATTGTATGCCTTCTGGTAACACCATTGAAAAGGTATCTTATACAAAAAATATATCTTTAGCTGAAAAGTAATGTTTAACAACACATTAAAATTCATATAGAAGAGATGCACTCAAGTTGATCAAATAATTCCAGAAACTGACAATAATGCTCTCAATATGTTGTGTGATATAACTCTTTAATACTTTACAGCAGCTCAACATGGAGATAATTCTGTGTAAATTTTCAGAGCCTCAACATCACCAGCATGTAGAGCACAGGTTAGTTAACTGTCTATCATGGTTGATTAACTTCAGTTCATCTCCTGAATATGTGCCTTTACATACAAGTGCATGGTTCATACCCAAGAGTCTTCTTTGTCTGGGGTGAGCATGGACGAGCCAGCGTGGAGGGTGTTCTGTGAGGCCACGCGTACGTCACAGAGGAGGAAACATCATCAACAATAAAAAGGAAAAAAAAGAAGAGTTTTTCATCATACTATGGGAAAAAAAATTATGGTGTGCTCTAACAGTTGATCTCATCAGTTTTATGAAGGAAATTTACAAATATCTACAACTAAACATTCAGTAAACTTCCTCCCATTTGAAGCAGGGCAACAAGTGTAGTTTCCTGTATACAGTACATCAATATCTTTGCACATATCTAAAGAATTTGTAGTCTGCAAAACCCCACAACACTTGGTCAACTCAATGTTACTGAAAGTGATACCAGAACCAAAGTTCCCAGTAAAGAAATGAATACAAATTAGCTAAACTGTACAAAGCATTTCCCATAGGTGCAGGCCTTAACCCCATGAGACAGCTACTTGTGTCAGAATCTCTACACCAAACATCCACCAATTAATGACTTAAAAAGACAATTTTGGGTATATTTCATTACTGCAATATTGTATTATAATCATGACTTATTTTTGGCTCAATATAATATTTCAAAGTGGCAAAATTTTTTAAAGGACAATAATTAAGTCCTCACTATATGATGCAACATATGACAAGAGGACAACACAGCAGCAAGTTCACTAACCATCATTGATGTTCTGGATTGCTGGTTTGATGATACGCTAAACTGCGAGTTGTTTTGTTTTAACAGATCACTGCTGGATCTGTAATACAAGAGAAGCTTTAGATGCTAACACAAGTAAGAGTCTCCTCAGACACTAGGCACGTTAACAGGAATCTTTAACACAGTAAAAGGCATCAGCTATGAGGAAGTAAACCAAAGTTAGGAAGGAAGAAATACAAGTTACAAGCACTAGTGACCAACCTTCATGAATTAAGGTCAATCGTTTTATCTACTTCAGTACAGTATATAGCGAGATAGAATGACAAGTCCATTGATAACATGAGATGTAAGTACAGTATTATACACTCACACACACACTACAAGACTATCACTGATCCTTGAACCAACATAACAGCAATTTAAATTTGTAAAAGTGTCTGAGCCGCTGACTGGAACACATTGTGGGAGATGAAAAGACGAGGTGTGTTTAGGTGGGCTAGCCAAGTTCTTCATTGGTGATCATTAAGGTATTGCTTCAGTCTCAGAATTGTTATTTTTTTTAATGTAGTTTACACATGCATTCTGGTTATAAATCGCAAGATGTTATCCAAAATAAAATCCCATTTTTGACGACAGGAAAAAGAAAGTACTGTACAAGACCTGATGCTGCAGACTATATCACCCCCTAGTGTAGTACAGCTTCCTTCACTACCAGTTACACAACACAACCATCTAACTGCCCTAATACCCTGAGGGGTTGTCGTCATCATCATTATCCTAATTATTATCAATATTCTACAGTCTTTTCCCAATGCTGACACAATAGTCTTTGTTGCCAAGTGACCAAATCTCCTTAACTTTCCCTTCAATGAAAATTTGACAGAGATCTACAAAGAAGCATCAGATATTCATTAAGATAATTACAACAGAGATAAAATAAAAATAAAACAGATGATACAACTCATATAATTCTACAGACAACATAATGTGTAGCTACAGCAGGGAGTACGGGACACTTCTCTCTCACTAAATGGACTTTACTTAACCAGAACACTGTGCCAAATCTTGCTCCTCAGCATTTTTGATGAAAAAACATAAAATTCTGCAATAAAATTCCAATTTATCTAATATTAGTTCAGTCTATTTACTTAGTTTATAACAGATGTTGCTCAATCCATTGTTTCTGCACACAGAGATCAAAATGCATAAGATTAAGGATATAATACAAACTTTACTGCCACTGTAGCTTTTGTCAACTGGATTACCACTTGTCATCTAGTTTAGTTTATGTGAGATAATGTTCACCCTGATGGATGTTGTGTGCTTATTACCCCCCCAAAAAAATTACTATACTATATTAACAATTATTTTCAAAACAAACCCACCAGATATTATGTTATATAAATCTATGGAATATTCAGCCAGGTCATTACTCTGTGGGAAGAGGTTGGATGCAAGGGTGGTATGCTGAGTAGGGTTTGGTGGGTGCCAAATTTAAAACGGCAGCCACATCACAACTCGCACCACTCTAGAGCAGGAGGGTCTGCCTTTATTAAGTGTCACAATTAATTTCGCAGAACTGTCCAGTACCGAGTAAAGGGGTCTGGGGTAGAATACATCATCACATGTTCATCTGTATAGCACCAAATCTAACCTAACAACAACTGATGTTATGTCTTTTATTTAGGTTATGATAGATTTGGTTGGTTCATGTTATCTCCAAGTGATGATAGCACTGTACTGTATTGTATTGTGTAGCAGTTACGTGAAGCATTTGGTCACTATTAAGCCTTTAATGATAACAACAGATCAAGCGTACAAATGGTGGTAAGTGCATTTGACGGACTCATATTCATTATACTGTATATAAATATTTATAGAAAGCAAAACTATGGGAAAAACTAAGATATGAAAAATGCAATTCCTGTATTTGATTTGGAGTTTTTTCAAGGTAAGAAAAAGGTTGTTTTCAGTACTATACAGTATAAGTAGAAAATACGTGGTTGTATAATCAAGACAAGTTATTTCTTACCTAAAGGAAATTGCAAATAATGATAAGGAATTAATATTTTAGTATGTTTGTTTTTTCTCTCCCTAAGTTCTTATTATTATTGTACATAATAGTTTTCCAACCAGCACATCCAGCTGACCACTTCTGATGTTTGATCAATTCTTTAGCAATAAATGTTTTCCAGAAAATGAATGCTTCTAGTAACTGCTACATTATAAGCACAAGATAAGCTAACTTACCTAACTTTAGGTAATGTTATGTGATATACAGTATTTTAATTCAGTAAGGATAGGTTGGGTTAGTTCATCTTGTTGTTTAAATTATAAACTGTAGCAATCACTGAAAGCATTCATGGCAGTAGGCGTACAATAGTGATCAAGATGAAAATAGTTAACGAAACATAAATAAAAAAATTGCAATTTTTCATCATTATTTGTAATTTTCTCAAGGTAAGGAATAAGTTATCTTCAATACAATATTTTTCAAAATTAGGTCTTATAAATTATCACCCAAATAATGTTTTCTATTTGAGTTATACAAGCACTGTATTTACAACACTGCTAAAGGGCCATGGCTGACTTCCTCGACAGGTTAAAATCTTCATCATAAGTCAATGAAGATGCACACAATAAACCCAGGTTGAATAAAATACTCAAAACAAGGTAAAAATTTCGTTTCGGTCATCCACCTATTTGGAAGTTGATCAAACCACATCAAAAACCATTGGAAAAACATAATTTCAAGCTTACCCAACCCAGCTAACCTAAACTAACCTAAACTTAAAATCCTAAAATTCGCTGGTTGACTGAAACGATAATACCCAAAATAAAATATATAATCCCATTCCCCAGGCCACTGAGCAACAAATGGTCCACACATGCCTACCTGAGGGTGCAATGTCTCCACACCAGGTAACATCCTGGTGTGGAGACAAGATAACAGATCGTGGTCTCCCTCTCTCTCTCACTAGGTAATAGATACAGGTGTCTCTCTCTCTCTCTCTCATAAGGAAGACTGAGTAAACAATTAACAAAAGGACGTATAACTACACAACCTCGAGTCAGTAAGATATGCCATATGTGGACTAATACTCTCTCACACACTGGTCTCCCCCCAGCCTCCTGGTGGGTGGCGGCCTTGTCTACCATACCAGGCTAATAACCACAGCTTTATACACTAAATTAACTCACCTTAACGGGTCTTCTTTCCATGTCTAGTAGATGTGAGGGACGGGTGAGAGTGTGGCCTGGCCTGGTGCTGAGTAGTAGATGTGAGGGACGGGTGAGAGTGTGGCCTGGCCTGGTGCTGAGTCACCCTGTTTGTTTACAGTGTCATGCTCTCCAGGGCTGCCAACCCTTCCTCTCTCTACATAACTTGCTTAATATGACTTAGTCTGTGTTTCTTTTTAATGCGATTGTATTTTATTTACCTTTTTTACTGCTAGTGCATTCATCATTTGACTATAAGTTAGTGCATTTTTATTTTCTCTTCACACATCCGAGTCGGGGAGAGAACCCGGAACACAAGAGGTAAGTGGGCACCCCCCTTGTATCCGTAATACGTATATACCCTTTAAAGATTTTACTTTATGCTCTAAATACATGTTAAAAAAAATGTTGGCTCTGATAATTTCTGCTCTTCAACTTTATGCTCATATACAGTATTATCTCGCTGTGTTACTTACCTACAAGTTGTGAGCTCTTGAGGAGCCAGTGCATGCCCATTACTTGCCGTCCCGAACTACCACAATTAATGACACTAATAAACTCGTGTGTTGCATCGCTTGACTGGTTCTCCGTAACTCTCAAATCTGTTTATAATTAATTATCTTATTTACCGAAAATCTGAAGCTCTTCTTAACTTAAATTAAAATACAGTATAAATAAAGGAAATCCACCTGATTTTTATAACGTAGTGCAAAGGATATTAATAGGCAAGTCTCTCAGGAAATTCACTGATATTCTAAATCGAGTTGCATACGGTTGCAATGTTGCATGTAAATTATATTGTGGCACAGGGGCAGCAAACACATTCGGTATATGTATATATGTAGAGAAGTCTTGTATACTGTTGGAAAGCCGTTTGATCCACAAATACCTGTATGACAAATGCACAGTCATGCGTTAGCGCGTGAAAACTATATGCAATGTTCCTTTATTGCCAACACCTTTGTGTAGGAAGTGAATCAAATAAAACTGTGAATATCGCAATCGCTTCGAATTAAAAAAAAATCTAAAAATTATCCAAGCTTTTCGTTCATGGATCTAATGTTGAAAGAGAGATAAAGATAAGGGGGGAGACAGACAGATAATGCCAAGATAAACTCCAAATCTAGACTATTAGCCCAGGATTTACACGACGGGACACCTTATACTCTCACTGGAACACGATGAATTAGAATGTGTTTCCTCAGTCCGGAGACGTGAGAAGGGTGAGGACCATTGACAATCTCGACCTGATGTCTACGCCTCGCTGTACAGAAAATACCGAACGATAAACTTGAGTGGTCATAATGTAGGGAGGGGAAGGGAGAGTGGGTAGCAGGGAGGAGGAGATGGTGGGAGCAGGGTGGGGGAGGCAGGAGGGAGATGGGGGAGCAGGAGATGGGGAGCAGCAGGGAGGGGGGAGATGGGGAGCAGGGAGATGGGGAGCAGGACGGGGGATGGGGGAGCAGGGAGGGAGATGGGGGAGCAGGGAGGGGGAGAAACGTCATAAGCAAAAATATCTTAAATCTCCAAGAAAATAATGATATGAGTTATTTAGTTATTTATGAACTTGAATTTTATTGTTAAAGAAGAATGAAATTTAATTGTATATACTTGAGTGGGTGGCCCGTTTTCTATAGTTGAGTGGGTGGCCCGTTTTCTTTACTTGAGTAGGTCGACGGAAACAAAAATATGTAACAGTTCTTCACATCAAGGAAAAGTGGGCGTCTCTGAAAAGCAGAATAACAAAAATGCGCTGCAATTGTCGTCCAACTTAGGAAGGAAGAAGTTGCCATAATATTCCTTTGTCCACAGCTGAGAGGATTTTCTCCTTCCATTTTCCACAACATTTTTTTCCTCTCGTGAGCTGTCTTAGGAGAATATAAATTTCGGGTATTCGACGGTAAATAATATTGGAAATTGTCGCCCTAAAGGAAAATTTTCGTTAGCTTCGCTCCTGGGGAATAGCCTGTGTCATTCTTTTTCCAAGCTAAAATAATAAATGAATAAGTAAATAAATAAATAAATAAATAATCCTCCAGGAAAGGATGATTTTTCTTTCCGTTGTTGACATTTGTGGACATAAAGAATGCCATAGAAATGTAAGAAGTGTTGAGGAAAGGTGAAAAATCCGCAAGAGAACTAAATAATCTTCTAAGAGAGACCAGGTTGACTTTCATTCATGGGTCGTTATGGAGCGATGTTGCACCGTTAGAGAATTCTGAGGAGATGAATATTTTTACTTTGTGGATGCATGGAAGAATATTATCTACTGAAAAACGTACTTACTGATGAACGAATCGAAGGAAGTGTTCATGGTTTATTATTATTATTACTGTTGCTTGATGAAGGGGAGAAAATGTGTATTGTCTATATATAAATAATAATGACAGTTGTTGGCTCTAAGATATATTATAGTTACGAAAGAACACTGGCCAAGCATATTAAACAAGCTGCTCTGTGGATAACATTAACCACTCAATGAAACAGAACTTTACAGACTAAATATAATGCACCTGTTTCTTCGTATTATTTTTACATAATTCAACTAATGCAATTGACATATTAATCGACTCTGGTGACATAATGTTGACAACGATTTTATTATGTGAAATATTATTATTGTGTCTCATTTCTTTATGTTGCTTAAGTACTGTTTAGGTCAGATTTTGCTACTTCCTTCCCGATGGTGATCACAAATCCGATTCATTATAAAAGAGTTATGAAGGAGATAATTATATATAGTATCGTCAGGGTTGGTAAGGCCTACTGTGCCACATGTTGCTCCTCTCTTTCCCCAGACACTTGTCCAGGCTGCTGCTTCAGGTTGAATAACAATATGTCAAAACTTCCAAATACTTTTTATGGAAATATTCTTGCAGCGGGTGATTTTGATAGGAAAGTTGAGGTAACATGCGCCGCAACACGAGGCAACGCTGTTATAGAGCCATAAAGTTATCCGCTTTTGCATCTTTTGAGGGAAACAGGGAGGATGGAAACCTTTGTTACCCAGGAGGTACATTTTATCCTCAACTCTTACAAGGCGTTTCACGAGCTTCTTTAACACAAGTCTCCGGCTCCCTTTGTTTCTATAATTTTTGGTGGCGTGGAATGAAAATAATCTAAGAGTAAGAATACCTTTTTTTATCCGAAGTTAGAGATAAGGCTGGGTGGCGTGAGTTAGCTCCCGTCTTGAACCATTTACAACAAACTTCTCATATTCCACGACACTCCTCTGGTAGGTCTTGGGGCGGTCAACATATTGCTCCTTAGTCTGGCAGCCCGGGTGTGGTGGTGCTGGCTCTCTGTTATTTACTCTGGGTTCAGTTAAATATGAAATAGGATTATCCGTCTATAATAATTGTAATAATACTGTTTTTGATTGAAAAATACAGCTAACTCCATGTATTTTTAAACTGGTTGTGATTTTTTTTAGCTTAGTGGTTCGGTTAACAACATACATACCTATAACCTAACCGGAATTAATTGAGGAATAGTCTGAGTATTGGCTTTAAGTTATAATAATAAAAACTGAAAACATTCCATATTTAGAGTAACCTACACACACACACCTTAACTAATTAACTGCTTTCCTTCCTTCCTCCCTCCCTCCCTCCCACCTAACTCACTGCCGGACCAACAACACCGCAATGACTTATAGCTGGGTAGTGTTCATTATTACTTCACTATAATTTTCCCCATTTTTATCCACCTTCCTGTCTTCTGCCATTATCACCAACACTAATGACCTTAATCACCTTTGATCCGTTATTTCCCTAATTACCTCATTCTTTCCCAATTATCGCCAATAAGGCTTCATCTCAAGTAACGACTTATTATTTTTTTGTTTTGTTTTTGTTCCCTAGGATCGTTTAGTTGTTCGTCTTAATTTAATAACAACAACAACAACAACAACAACAACAACAACAACAACAACAACAATAATAATAATAATAATAATAATAATAATAATAATAATAATAATAATAATGATAATAATAATGATAATAATAATAATAATAATAATAATAATAATAATGATAATAATAACAATAATAATAATAATAATAATAATAATAATAATAATAATAATAATAATAATAATAATAATAATAATAATAATAATAATAATAATAATAATAATAATAATAATAATAATAATAATAATAATAATAATAATGATAATAATAATAATAATAATAATAATAATAATAATGATAATAATAATAATAATAATAATAATAATAACAATAATAGTAATGGTAGTACAAGTGGGGTATGCTATAACGAACGGATCCTACTACGAATATTCCTATAACGAACGGTTTTACCTATAAAATTGAGAATGCTATAACGAACGCAACTCCTACAACGAACGCGGATGAATACGGGACTACTTCGCCTGGCGCATGAATATTGTTGTACCGCGACCCACAACAAGAGCGTCAGGCGCCATCTTTGTCTCATTGTTATTGTTGAAATTTCGTCTTTTAATGTGGAAATTCGCGTTATTTGTATAACTATTTTGTTATACAAGTATACAATTGTAACAATGAGTCGTCCAAAGCGAGTGAGAAAGCTAATAACCCTTGAAACTAAGAAAGAAATTATAAAGAAACGTGAGAATGGAAGAAGCATTGCGAAACTTAGTGATGAATATGGGATGGCTAAATCGACTATATGTACGATTTTGAAGAATAAAGAGGAGTTAAAAACTGTGCAAGTGGCTAAGGGAATCTTTAGACTTAGCAAAGCAAGGTGTAATGTGATTGAAGAGATGGAAAATTTACTCTTAGTGTGGATAAAGGAGAAAGAAATGGCAGGTGGTAACATTAGTGAAGTGAGAAGACCAGACAATTGTTGGAGGACCTTAAAGCCAAGACTCCCAGTGATGTGCCAGTGTTTAGGGGTACCTGCATGCTGAATAACACTAAGGTAAGATAAAGTACCGTATTTTTTACATTTTCCACAGAATTTTTTCAGTGTTAAGCGGTTGTATTTGGGGGCCTGGAACGGATTAATCCTAAAACGAACGAATGCTATAACGAATGATTTTAACGAACAAGAAGAAATAAAAATAATACCGATAATAACTTCAATAACAGCAAAATATAAAAACAATT